GTCACAAGAATGAGAAAAAAGCTACACTACCAGATATTCAATCCTTGATAACTTCTGCCAATAGAGTCTACACATTTTGATTAGGTTTCATTTGCATCCCAACCACTAGTCCCACAATTTTTTTTCATAATCTTTACAACAGATAGAATTTTATCCCTCTGGAAAGTTACAACATGTAACAGATGATCAAAATAAACATTAGCCAACTGGGTAATGAAGAGAACAACAAGGACAAAGAAAAAGGCAACAGGACTAAAGTCAGTTTTTCCTTCCTTATTACTCTTTGACCTTCCTCCCCTCAAGATCTCAGTTCAGTGCTCATGTACTCATCTCTCCTTTCAAATTGGCCTGTCGGTCCCATATGTCTTGACTGAGGTATCTCTCTATGTAAAAGTCATTCCATCAATTTAATGCTCTCTGTTAAAGATATTTTAAGAAGACTTCTTGCTGCAGATACTGTCGGCCGCCTATGCAAAGCTAAGCCTTTATTCTGGTGTTTGTATCTCCCACAAGCAGCTCAGGTAAACCTTCTATAGTGCAACACAAGCATGGTGGCCCCTTTCTCCTTTTCACTGATTGCTCTGGGCCAAGGAGATGTGATGAGAAGTCTGCTAGAGAACATCAGGGGAAAGTATCAGCATAAAAAAAAATTGCCACCACAGTTCTCAAAGAGACTCAAGGTAGAAACAACACCTCTCCTGCCTCTGATCAAGGACCAGTGTACAAGGACGCAATGTAACATTTTATGACCCTGAGAGGAGCTGGACAACACAATGAGGTTCAATCAGCAAGAACACGGACATAACCTGAGTCCTTCAGGAGCCAAGAAATTAACCAACTCTCAGAACTGATTTTGTGTAATTACACAATAGATCTTCTTATTGTTTAAGCCATTTAGAATTGAATTTTCTGTTTTGTACTGGTAAAAGCACCCTAATCAACACCACCTCAGAGAAGAAAAACAAGGTTCTGCCTCTCTGCAACATCCTAGCAACACAAGAGTCATTACCCCACATACACTCAAAAAAGAGACTAAGATTTATTTTCCAGTAAGTATTTTGGGAAAAGCAGCTGTGAAAGGATATTTTTAATAGTGACTCCTAATGTATGGAGAACACTTTGAAATCCTTCTGTGTTGCATAAACACTGTAATAAGATTAGGATGAGCCACTATGAATGGTATGTGTGGGGATATACAACCTACTCGGAGTCATTGTAATATGTAAACATTAAGAAACTGCCATGAAATTAGTCTTCATTACTCATCTTCTCTTATTTTCTTCTATAATTATAAGATCAGAAAAATGTTTTTCATGTTCCTGTACCCCCTCTCCAATGGAGGGAAACACAGAAGCACAGAACTGAGTAAGAAACTCAGAAAAAAAGAAGCTCAAAGAGGTAATGTAATTTGCACAAAGTTCCAAGGCTACCTGGGCATGCTTTTCTTCGTAATTAAAAATGTTTTATATAAGATTTTAGGTCATTTGTTGAAAGCTCTTTAATGAAAAGTCAAATTGCAAAGTCTTACAGGATTTTTTTTTACTAATTTAATCACGATGATAAAATTGTGAATGCAAAGCTGCAGGCTGCCTCTTTGCTTACTAATACCTTCCTAAATCCCAATACATACTCCCTTTAATACCATTCTTATCTCTTAGAAAATCTTTACATAGGGCCCACTGAATAGGCCAGCAGTTCTCAAAAGACTGTTTATATAATAATTACCTAGGAAATATCACAAATGCAGATTCCCAGGAGGGATCTCACTTAGTAAATCTAGACTGTAGTCGAGAAATGCCAAAGTACACAAGCACCCCAGGTGATTCCAGTCGTGCTCTGAGGCTCATGACTTTAGACTGCATTCCAGATTCCAAGATCCAAATAGAGAACATCTAATTATAATAGATTTAAGCTGGAATGACAAAAATATGTGCATGGTTGCCTATAATTTTTATGTTCTCTCTGAGGGCTGAAACAAACCCAGCACCTCTGTGATTTGGATGTACCCAGGTAATCATTCGTTTTCAGAGTTTTGGACTTTGTATCTTTTCTCACCAAGGCTTTTTTCTTTCTGAATGTATTTTTCCTGAATCACAGAAGATGCCTTAACTCTTCCTCAAGAGTTAGAGAAAATCAATTTTGGAAAAGTTTTCAGAGCATTTTTTAAAAAGTACACAATACAGAATGACTCGATTTTGAAACAGAAGCCTGAGATGCATGAGGCAAACACTGGGTAATGAGAGAAGTAAACACTAAGTTTTCCAGCAGAATAGGCTCTGAAACCAAAACTTAGGAAGGAAGCTGACCATTAAGCAAGTGGCCTAAAAGAACAATAGTTCAGATGAATCCTGGGGCAAGTCTGAATCTGAGAAAACTGGAATCAGAGAAAGCTCTTATCCCAAGTTAACTTTCCCTTACAGTTGAATTTTAAAATAAGGACAGTACTGTAAGTGAGAATATAGTTTAAGTGGAATCTTAGAACTCCTGTGGATGCCAAATAATTTCCAGAGACCTAGACAAATACTCTATTGGATTCAGTAGTGCTCACTTACACCCACTTCCCTCCTCAGGGACATTTTAAATCTGGAAGCTCTGAAGACCAAAAACATACAGCACTCAGAACTGGAGTCTGTGCTTTCCATTGCTGGCTCTGCCCAGCTCACACTAAGGCATGAGAGCTCATCTATGGATAAAGAAATGTCAGAATACCAAAGACAGTCATTCTCAAGTATCAAAACTAAGACGTAGTGCTCCAGAAATGCTAGGGAATAAACCACTTCAACAACAAAATGGTTGAAAGGCAAAAATTCAAGAGCACAACTGTAACTCTCATATACCAGTTATATTATGCCTTAGGTTAGGAACAAGGCGAGACTGAACTTCATGGAATTGGAGAAGGGTAGAAAAAGGGGGAGACACGAACCATCCATCATTCATTCATCAGGGGATGAATAGGCCCAACTGTTCAAGAACTACCTTCAGCCTCTGGTTTCTTCCTCACCTCATTAAACAGCACTAACAATTCTCAGGGCAATCAATACTGGCCCTGCTGGGTCACCATGCGCTCTGGGTCTCTTTCAGTCCACATAAGCTCTCACTCACTCCGACTGCAGTCTGATGAGACCCACCAGCATTCAGCTGGTTCCTAACCTTTCTCCAGCTGCTTGCAGCAGTCCTCCAGGCGTCCTGCAGATGTAGAACCATAAAGCAGTCACAAGCATCCCCACATATAGTTGGCTGGAATAAGTACCAGGAATCTCATGTTTTAGCGCATGTTCAAGTGTACAAAGTTTAGCAACTAAGACCAAAACCAGCTTTATTGTTTAACAAATGCCTGGCTCTAGTTCTGTGGCACAGGTACTGAACTGTCATCTCAGAGCATGTAGAGCTACTTTTTAAAGCATGGTTCTCATTAATTAATTAATTTATTTATTTATTTATTTTTGGCAGAACCGAGGATTGAACTCAGGCCCTTGCGCTTGCCAGAGAAGCATTTATTCCACTGAGCCATCTCCCCAGCCCCCTTCATTATTTTAAATACATTTTATCAGATTTGATTTTGAGGGTAATTTCTCAACAAACTCACGTGTTCTCTGCTATACTTGCTTCTGGACATGCAGTTCTGATAGGGCAGGGTAAGGAAAAAAGTCTACCAATAATGGAACAGTCCTCAGCTCTACCTAGCTGCTGTTTATTTACACACAAAATATATGCCTCACCAGTTCTGTACCCCATGAAATAAAAATAAAAAGACAAAAACAAAAAACGACATTCATTTCTTCATACTGATGCAAATCTTTTTTTTTTTTTTTTGGTCAGGGATGTATTGAGACAGGATCTTGCTATTTTAGTCCAACCTAGCCTTGAACCTTGAACTGACTATGTAGTCTAGGCCAGCCTCAAACTCAGGGCAATCTCCTGCTTCTGCATGCTGAGTGCTGGGATTACAGGCACACACCATCATACCCAGCCATTTGGGCACAAACTGTTATGTAACCTACAAGCTTTCTCTCTAAAGGGCAATGTAATGTGCTTCTTAGATACATGAAAACTGAGCATCATAATCGCCCTCAGATGAATATAAACTTATCCCACAGGACTGATTTAATGGTATGAGCCAAGTGCTAGTAAGGGCCAAATTTAAAACAGCAATTCAGGAGAATTTTGTGCTTGACAGTTTATGTTAAGTGCTACATGCTCATTCTTTTCTTTTGCTCCACTCTGCAATCAAGAACATTCCATCAAAGCAAATGGAAAGGCAGAGCATAACATACAGAAGTGGCTGACACAGTAAGGAAAAGAGTCAAGCAGCAGTAAATATACAAAAAAATTTAAAACCATTCCAACAATGTAAAGACTCTGAACAGGAAAGTCAGGCCCTCACTAAATGCTTTGATTACTTCAGAGAAGAAGTGAGCATTCCCCAAAAATAATTCCTTTATTCTGTATATTTCTCCAAAGCTTTAAAGTCAATGACCTTGTAGACAGACTGTCATCTGTATCTGCCAAATAAAGAAACTAAGGGATGGAAGGCTCAGTGACATTTGTTCAAAAGTAGTTAAGTGTGTTGCTCAGAAAATAATCAGCTTTAGAATCCAGGCTTCCTTACTCCAAATCCAAGTTCTATAAACTCATGACATATCCTCCTATGTCCTTGGATCATTAAAAGAACATATAAGCCCTAAAAACTCTGGTGACCTGGCATTGCAGATGACCCATTCCAGTTTACCCTTGATTAGGACAAGAGTAAAATTTCCCTGCAAACTCTGCTTGGCAGCCTGGCCTCCCGGGCACTTCCCCAGCCTCCTCTGTGAAAGCCATCTGGCCTTTACTGCTGCTCTCCACTGCAGTTAACATTTCACACATTTCTTTCCTAAGCCTCCAGTATACCTGATGCAATAGTGGGAGAGGGGAACATAAGCAGAACTGAGACCAGCTTTCCTGCTACGATAAGAAGTTTCTGGGGTGAGAAAAGGGCCAGCAACCAGTCATAAACCTACTTTGCCAAGTGGTTCATGAGCAGCTGTAACATCTGCCGATTTTTCTCTGGGAGCCGATGAACAAGGCTGTGGATTTCAGAGACCCGAGTCTCCTGGTTCTCCAGCTCTGTGAAGGAAGGAGGGAGGCCACATTTTATCAGTTTCACCGTGAACTTGTTTTAAAAGACAAAATCAAGGGAAAACAAAGTTTGGACACTAACGGATCAAATATTTATGATCCTGTCTTGTGTGTGAACCGCATGACCAGCACAACCAAATAGATTTTAGGTTCTTTTTTTTTTTTTAATGTATTTAGTACAGGGTCTACAGGGTCTCATCACATAGATCAACTCATAGTGATCCTCCTGTTTTCAGCCTCCCAAATGCTGGGATTACAGGTGTGCACCACCATGCCCAATCTCAATCACCATCTCAGTGCACATGAGGGCAGGGCCAGCAGGGTATGCCAGGGATTGAACCCTGGCCCCTTGGTCTGCCTAAGTAGGTACTTTAATCTGCTGAGCTATCTGGCTGGCCCAACTCTAGATACTTTCAAATGGTGCTTTCTGTAACAGCGCTCATCAAAATGACTGTCAAAATATTCAAACCAAAATGATGATGTAATGAAAGGGAGCTTCTCAACTGCATACCCAGAGCAGGAACAAACTTAGGAGCAGCTGGCTCCCTAGAAGGCAAACTTCATTTCAAGGAAGGAAGGAACTTTATGCACTCAGAAAGGGATAAACAAATCTTCCATCAACAACATTGCAAAGGTCTCAAATTTCAAAATAATGTGCCTCCTCTACATCAAAGAAACCAAAAGAAACGCCCATTGTTCTCAAGGTACACATGACAGTAGCCTTGTAGAAAGAAAGCAATGGCAGACATACTTAAATCTTACTGCCACCCTGTAGCCCATAGCATAGCTTCTCATATTGTTTTGGCTAAACTTGGGTAAGTGGCTTCATTTCTCTGAGAAGTAGATTGCTGATACTCATTGCGTTTATTTATAGGACTGATGTGAGATTTAATTAGAGAATGGTTGCTATCGGTTTGGAATTTCTCTGAGAAAGAAATCACATAAACACCATCTACACTTTCAGCTTTCTCCTGTGTCTTTCTCCTCCCAATTTTAAGGGGACAACTATAAGTAGATGAGGTCACCAGAACACGAGGTATTACTAAATCAGGCCAGTAGTTGTTGAGGGTAAACAAACCCTCAAGTCTGAAAGAAACCAGGGAGAGGCACAAGCTATCAACACAATAATGCTGTGAAGATTCACAGCAGATTAAATCTGACAGAGAACCAAAATGGCCCTTACAGCAGGCCTATGCCACGCAGACAGATTCCAGCACGCTCAGGCTAGCTCGCATCTAATCCCTATGCATTTTAATGTCAGTAATATAATGTTAGGGACTTGGGTGATACGACCGAAGAATGATCAGAAGCTGTAAATGGAAGACAAAGTGGAAAGAGGATTGTGAAGTTATATAAGTGGTACTGCGTTCAGGGAAACACTTCCAATCCTCAATTTACGTAATGTGCAATGTCTGATTCATTCTGTAAAATGCCAAATGATGGGGAAAAGCCCAAGAATTCAGAACTCCAATAATCAAAACTTGAAAGGCAAATTTGCTTCTCTCTCCTAACTCAAGAAAAACACCCCTGAAGTTTCTATTCCTCTCTATATTTAATGTCCTAGCAAGGCCTTCAACAGTTCTGATTTGGCTTCATTTCTAGTCTATGTTTTCCAAGCATGTATATGAGCACTCATACACAGATTACAATGGATTAGAGAATATTTATTTTGAGATAATGGCTGTTGGTCAAAATAGAAAAGTCTATTTTCTTCCTCTTAAAACTGGAACAAAAGATGACTTACTTGCTGCTTTGATGAAACTTCTTTGAAACTGGTACATCATGAGTGGTCCTGGGAGCATTCTGGAACACAAAGGTACAGACTCGTGAGCTCAGTAATAAAATAATCATATTTTCCCTGAAGAGCAGCCCAAGGACTGTAAAAAGGGTATTATATTTCTCAAAGACAAAGTGAGAGGGAAACAAAAGCAACTCAATTTAGTTTCCTAACTGAAAGGCGTCTGGGCTCTCACCTGAACTCTTTGTTATCTTTCTGGAAGGAATGGCTATAGTGATATTGCACAGTCACAGCTAGAAAAGTGCTAAGGTAAAGTCTAGCATGCACCGAGAGATTTCCTTCTCAGGCAGTGACTCACCTATCAACAAGAACATTTTAGGATGCATCTGAGAAACAAGCAGCTAACTGCACACTTACAATTGCTCAATCTCATCTTTCCAGCAGCTTGTTTTTGCTATCAGCTCAGATGGAAACACTATGAAAAAACTTTGGAGGTGTTTTATTCCAGAATGGAGTTTTGCTCCAAGGCACCACCAGGCTAGAACCTCTAACACTGGCATAATACAAGCAAATTTCACCTGCTGAGTAGAAACATACCTAAATATCAACTTGAGTTTTTCTGACAATTTAAATAATCTCAACAGATCATACATCATTCATGGCTTAGATTTTATTCTTATTGGATAGCCTAATTTATCTCTTAGTCACCTCTTGCATTTCATCTTACTCCTGACTTCAGGGTGAACTACAATATTCACCCTTCAAGTCTATCCTTCAGTCTATTCATAAAAGAGATACAAACAAGTAGTCAATAATCCAAGGCACAGAGAAAGAGGTAACAGTAACACCATTTATAGGAATATAAGGAGAAGAATCCTTCAGTAAGGTAATAATATTATATAGTATTTCCTAATGTAATGGAAAGAGTCAAATGGAGTTTTACTAAGTTCTTACTTTTAAGGCCCAATGTAAGCAAGATACTCTAGGTAAAGCACAAAACTATCAAAATACAGAGGGTATGGAACCATATATAGCCTCAGCAGAATGTGATACATGATTTCTTTTCTTAATAGATTTTTTCAGGGCAGACCATATATTTTTTTTTTTGTTCCAAGCTATTTACCTCAGTACTTCTCATTAAAATCAAAGCTTCATAAATCACTCTTGGCACCATCCCACAATGGCAATCCTCAACTGTGGAGGACTGACAATCAGTTTGACCACCTGAAGTAAATGCACCTCCACAGAAGCTGTTTCCACATTTCAAACACCCACCAACCACTCTCTGGAGGTTGAAAATAAAACTGCTGTCTTCCTGGCTGCATGATAAGTAGCTGGCACGTGCTCTGCACAAGCAGAGTCCGTACCTTAGGTAGGTCTTCAAAGCACTCGTGATGGTCTTTATCTCCCATTCGGCACAGATATCTGTTTCTGTCTCTGAAGCCATTTTGGGGTCTAAAATAAAGAAAAAACAATGCATAAAGCAGAAAATAAATACAGCTATTAAACAAGCACATGCGAAAGTATTCAACCTTGTTAGTAACTGAAAAATAAAAATTAAAACAAAAATGACACACAGTTTTTGCTTAATATATCAAGGAAATACCTAAAAGCCCAAATGTCTAGCACTGGGCACTAGAATGCAGTGAAATGGATTCTCCCATATATTGCTGGAGGCAGCAGACATAAATCCAACAGTTTTGAAAAGAATCTGGCAATATGCATCATCAAGAGTCTTAAAAATGTTTATATGCTCTGAACCAGAAATCCTATTTCTCACAATCTCTCCCCAGGAAATAAGAAAGGCATGAGAAAAGATACTAATCCTAGAAATGTTCTGCAGATACTTTATAACAGTGGAAAAACACCAAGTTAGACAACCCAAAATGCCAGCTCCTAAAAGAATGGTTAAGTGATTTACAGTTTGTCTTCCTAGTAGAATATTATGTTGCCACTTACATGATACTGATGACTGTACAGCAATATGGAAAATGTATTATGTAATGTCAAGTAGAAACAAAGATATGTGAGAAACCCATATGAACGAGGGTTGAAAGGAAATACTCTAAAATTAAAACAGTGGTTGGGTTAAAGTGGTGAAATTGTGGTTTTTGAATTTTCTAAACTGTGCATGACTTGATTCCATTGCTTTCATATATTTTAAAAATCACATTAAGATCAGATGTGCAGTGAGCACAACCCCAGTTATGTTGGCTCCTGATAATTTCCACTTTAGTCTCCTCCTGGGTGGAATTTCAAACAAATGGGGCTGTCAAAGAAAAGAAGTTCTTGTAGTACTCGTGAGCAGCACACAGGAAGGAGAGAGGAAGAGGCTTGGGAGTGTGGACTGCTTCCCATGAGCAGAGTCTCATACTGTCGACTGTGTTGGTGGCCCAGGTCACGTACAAACTGCTGGGAGGGGAGGGGAGGGGAGTCCATCAGGCATCAAGGGGAGAATCCAGCTTCCTTACCCTGACCCAGGGTGGCCCCTCATCTCCTGTTTTTTGAGTAGCGTCTTGCTTCCAGCTGAGGAGCACTCATTTTCTTACTCCTTCCAGGGACAGGGACCAAGATTTGGGACAGCCCCCAGATGCAAACCACTTTCTGCTGTGCTGGTTCAGGGATGGCCCAAGGTCTAAGCCAGTCAGTCATGGGGAGCATCAGGACTTTCCCATGAGGCAAGAGCTTCTTTGCTGGATTTTCACCTGAAAGATTATGTAACTGCAGAGCCTGAGAGAAAGCCAAACAAGGCCAGAGAAAGGGAAACTGAAACAGTGGGTCTTGAGGACATGGCGTCAGCTCTTGTATCGAACTATATACCTTGTAAACTATGTAAGCCAAGAAATTCCTCTTTTTCTCCATTAGCTAAGTTTGGTCAGTTTTTATGTTTTTTTTTTTTAATAATCCAAAGATATCTAACTGATATAGCAAGTAAAGAGAGGTAGCCATTGGAATGTCTCTTTTTGGGCAGTCCCCAAGAATTGACATCAACTGAAAAGAGCTTCGTCCGACTGGCTCAACTGCCTTTCCACAAGAAAGAACAATGAGTCACAGGTGGCCACAGTAGAGCTTCTATTTCCTGGGGTGGGGGGTGGACAGGGGACTCACTTTTATCATAACACGAACAGGTCAAATATTCATGAATGGCTTAAGTTTGCAGACCAAAAATTAAGAGAAATAGAAGGGCTGTAAGGACAGCCAACATTTGGACCATAGCCTTTCAAGGTCAGTGAAGACTCAGGGCTAAACCTTTAATCCCCAGTAAAAGGCAGAAACCCAGTGTGTCCCTACCACTCGCAGCACCTTCCCTCGGCATTTCTTTGTTCAGGAGGCAGAAATGAGCATAGTATGCACAGCTGCAACAGCCAGAGGACCTGTGTGATATTCACAGGAGACCTTGGGCAATGACAAAATCTTTCTTGTCATATGAAGCAAACAAGGGAGAGCCTTAAAGAGCATGATTTTATTTCTGGAACCACAGAAGAGTAAGTTCTACAGATTTCTACTGCAGAAAGTTTCTAAAAAACTCAGAAATATGACTTTTCTTATAACTGAAAGGTCTACAGCTTTAATTTCTTTGTCACCTTACACTCCCTGAATAATTTCTCTCAGCAGAAGCACATATATCCAAAATGTTTATTTAGAATGACCCTTTTCCTTTTCCATCCCTGAGACTCATGGAAAGCTGCCATGAAACCACTGCAAGGTTCCTGGACCCAAGACAAACGTTACTGTACATTTTTTCTGAGGAACAATCCACTTTCTAACCAAGAAGAGTGAACATGAAGCTAAACTAGCACCAGCTGGCAAGTCTGGGAGTTGTGAACTAGTCCACGAACCACATTTAGCAAACTAATGATTAGCTTCTACTTATTACTCTGTAACCATAGGAATATTGCATAACATCTCAGGGAGGAGAGTCAAATTACAGTTCGGCTCAAGGGCTTTTTATAGCACTGATGAGGCAAGACTCAGAACTTGAACATGTTCGTTTTAATTCGTCTAATATCTAAACCAAATTGAATGCAGCCTCCCAAGCTACCCCCTTACCAAGGGTGCCGTCAATTTCTGCACTGCCCTCCTGAGGCTCGCTTCACCTACACATGCTGCCGAGCGGTCCCTCAGTATAGCTGAGATGTCAGCTGCCCATGTACAGAACTCAGCACATTTTTCCCTACTTTCTCCCTCGACCATTCTAGATCTTAATTAAAAAAAAAAAAAAAAAAAAAAAGGAAAGAAAAGAAACATAATTTACTGGAGCATCCCAGTGTACAAAAAGGTACCAAGCAGGTAAAGCACACTGAGTCTATCACCTCTCCCACCACTTACCACGTGAATTCAGAAAGTTAAGAGACGCTAAGAAAATGAAAAGGCTGGAAGCAGGGATGACAAGGGAGTTGTGTCAGGGAGATCAAACCAGACCAGAGCCAAGAACTATGTAATCTACCTCTGTACTGCTGATAGACAGTGGAAGACATTCAGAACTCCACGGACCCCTACATTTCCTAATGATCCACTACAAAGCAAGCAAATGAAATACTTTTCTCTTTAATTGAGAGGATTAACATATACACAGTAAAAAAAAGTTCAATTAAAAATAGATACATAAAAGGATAAATCTTTTCTATGGTACAGGCAACTATTAAGCTTTTTTTGTGTGTATGTGTGTGTGACACATCCAATCTAACAGTATGCATATATTTGCATACAAATGTGCACATATACATATACTTTTTTAAAAAAAATGCAAATATCCTAGCATGTGCAAGGCTCTGCATTTAATCTCCAGGACTGAAACAAAACAAACCCACAAATGGGAGCACACTGCATGTCACTCTGTGCAGTTATTTTCATTTGACAATCTCTTTCAAACTCTTCTATATTGGCACACAAAAATATCCATTTCACAGTACTTCACTGTATAAATGTACCACATTTAATTTGAAACCACCTTTCAATGGATATTAAGGTCTTTACCCAGTTTTTATTATGATAAATGATATAAATTACTATTTACTTGCATATGTCTTACCTATAGAAAAAAGCCCAGAAAGTGAAATTTCCGAATCAAAAATTTGTGCATTTTTTATTTTGAAAGACATCACTCAAGCACTGTTCTGACACTAAGTTTAAACGATTCCTTCCTATGTCTTTGACAGCAATGTGCAGATATAAGCAAATTTAAGGGGCTTAAAAAAGTTTTCTCATTGTATAATTCCTATTTTTAATGAAGATGTTCCAAATTCTCTCTTGTATGTGAATGTTTTTAAAGTGAAGGTTACTAACTTTCACTTACTCCTTCGGGAGTGTGCAGTTCTATGATTTTTCGACAAATATGTATAGTCAAGCAACTACCAGTAGTATCAAGGAATTTCATGACCCTCCCCAAAATTCCCCTCTGCTACATTTTGCTTCGCTGTCTCCTTCCACCTCCGCCCCGGCAATCATTTTCACGTAACACAATACTTTCGAAATCCACCCATGTTGTTACATGTAGAGCAGTGTAATCCTTTTATTACTGAGTAGCATTCAATGTTATAGATATGCCATAATTTGTTTATCCATTCACTGGTTGATGGACATCTGGGTTGTTTCCAGTGTGGCTGTTATAAAGCTACTATAAATATTTGAACATCAGGCTTTGCATGGACCACATTTTCATCTCTTGGGTAAATACTGTAGCTATGAATGGGACTAAGTAAAATCCCTTAGGAGTAGGTCATATGGCAGGTATATTTAACATGAGAGGAAATGTCCCAGTTGTCCTCTCAAGTGTTTGGGCTGTTCTGCATTTCCACTACCACATGCTAGAGCGCTCGCTGCTTTATATCCTCTCCAACACACGATACAGTGAGCCTTTTGAAGTTCAGCTGCTTCTAGGTATGGAGTGATACAGCTTTTTTTTTCAAACTTAACCACCTTAATGGTGCTGGTCATCTTTTCATGTATTTTTTGGCCATTTATGGATTTCCTTTACGTATTAATTTATTTATTATATGTATTTAGGACAGGGTCTACAGGGTCTCACTATGCAGACCAGACTCCCAAGTGCTGGGATTACAGGCTTGTGCCACCACGTCCAGTGCCATTCTCCATCTCAGCGCACCCTGGGGGCGGGGCCAGCACAGCATGCTGGGGATTGAAGCCCGACCTCTGCGCTCTGCCTAAGCAGGTGCTTTAGTCTGCTGAGCCAACTGGCCGGCCCTGTATATTTCCTTTAGTGAATTGTTTTATCAAATCTTTATTTTAAAAATTGGGTTGATTGTGTTACAGATTTATAAGAGTCTTTAAAATATGTTCTGGATACAAATCATTTATTATATATCTTATGTTTTATAAACACAGTATTTTATTTTGATCTGTAGCTCATCTTTTCTAACAATATCTCTTAAATGCAAGTTTTTAATTTGAATGAATTCTATTTTTTATTCTTTGTTCCTGTTTTTGTGTTGTAA